CGGGGCGGCGGAGCCCTCTGCTCGGAGGCGGCCGTCGGTCGCGGCCTCTCCCCCGGTGAGGGCAGCGAAGGAGGGGGGCCCTGCCCCGGCCACCCGGGGTTCGGGGAGCGGGGCAGCCACCCTGGCTTCTCCCAGAGGGTGGCGTGGGAGGACGTGTCCTCTGCTGCCTCCTGCCTCTGCTTCCCATGGCAACCTACCCAGAAGTCGGTCTCTCCGCGGGAACACCTCCGCTCTCCCCAGGCACGGTGTGGGTGTCGGGGAGTGGCTCGTCTGGAAGGCTCTCCCCTCACCGGTCATGTTACCTCCTCTGCTGCCAGCTACGAGGGCCTTTCTCTGCCGCTCCCGGTGCCCTGACTTCCTTACCCCAACCTGCACCCCCCTGTCCTTCGCTCAGTGCCTCTGCAGAGCTTCCCAGGGCTGATCAAGAAGAGAAGGAAGAAGCGTTACATCGAATGTCTGATGTGCGGCTGACAGCAACGCCTCCGCGTCCTCGTGTGCGTACCTCAGTCTGGGACCAGTTTGACCACCCGTTTGACTATGCCAGTCAAAGGACATCAGCCTACCGGGGCAGGAGCAGGGCCTTCAGCTGAAACTTCCTGCAACGATAACCAAATACTTGTGTCCCGCACAGTCAACCTCCAGCATGGTGTTCATAGTAGCGTACTCCGAACGTTGAGAAAGATGCTGTCTTTCAAGAAGTCCTAAAGGATATGGAACATGTCTGAAGTGACAGATCTAGGCTCTGTGCCTGAACAAGTTCATTATGTATTGCTTAACTTTCTGAATAAAATATGTGTAAGTCTTTGCAGGCTGGGGGCCAGGACACTAGGAGCACCCTTACACCCCCACACACATGGAAGATAATACAACATATTTTCCATATAACAAGTGGCAAGATGCCTGAAGTTATCTTACAAAATGTTTCACAGAATCTGTAATCCCCAGCAATAGTCAGCACTTTGCTGTTAGAATGCTTAAAAATACACACAGCCAGCCTGTGATATCATAGCAGTAGAAGAGTTAGTGCTGATTCAGAAGGGAAAGTACCACTGAAGAATCAAACCCCACGTCCTGCAGCTTGCAGGATATTCATGGAGGTCCTCTGCCCAGGTGAAAGCCTGTCCGACGGTGTTTGGTTCCTGACAGCTGCCAATAACACAGAGGAAGATACTCTTTTTTCCCCACAATCTACATATCTTTACCAGACAAATGACTGCATTGATTTCTATGAACTGTTAATATTGAAGGACTCATCCTGCCTAGCAGTTGCAAGATGAAATTTTCTCTTCAGATGGGAAGGTGCTTCAGTTATAAATAATTTGTGGGAATATCCTTGTATGCAATGGCAGAATCAAATGAGAAGATAAAGGGATGTATTACAACAGCAGAAACGTTATTTCTAAGCTGTCTGGTTTTAACTGTCCAGTTGCTATTTCCCACAAAAGCTACAAAAGCGTCAAAGCTAGAAGAATCTCTTAACCAAATCCCAACATACTCCTAGTCCCAATAAAGAGGAGTTTGGATCCAAGCTATCCTTAGATGTCATCAACGAAACTACAGGGTGACTGATAGGATGTGCAAGTTGAAGTCTGAGACAGAAGACATTTCTGTTTATTCTCTCTGGAAAAGACATGGTCACTGTTCCATTCTAGGGCCAGTGGCATGGTCTGGCAACAGAACTTTTTTGGGCCTCTAGTAGTTTGCCTTTTCTGGTTTTACCAGAACATATCACAACACTATAGGCAATAATTTGGTAGTTCGAGTATCAGGGAGCAAGGAGGAAATCGTTACAGAGGTGACACATATCAATAGAATTTATACATTTCTGTCTGTATTTTGCCCACAGAAACGGTCAGCTGAAGTGGAAAGTACTCTTGTAATTAGAGGACAAAGCATCTGGATGAGGAGAAAGGTGAATAAGAAGTTCCAGGACAAGTAGCGTCTAAAGAGTGATTACAGTGGGTTGTCTCGTGTGGAATGACCTCGTCTCTTACATCTCATGAGGTAGATTTTTTACAAGACATTCCTGGAAAAATTATTTTAGGCACTATTGCCTCTTTGAGTGAATGGTGCAGTGTGAGATGATGTATCTAAGGCAAAAGTACCACATGCAGGGGTTGGGGGTGTATAAGCCTTTTAGAAGGCTCTATGAAGTGAATGAATTGTGAGTCAGTGACATATGAATGAGCTGAAATAATAAACTTTAACCAATATACATAGCTGTATGCAATGTTTCCCCTAGTAACGTCACAAGAAGAGTAACAAAACGTTCCACCGTCAAAGAGTTTTGCAGACACTGACTGGTCCCTTGTTGGGCAAACTCAGTCCTACTGTAAACGGGAACAACTCCACCAGCCTCAGGAGGTGTGTCTTTTGTCGCTGGTGCTTATATCAGATCCACAAAGGTGGAAACGCTCACTCCTCTAGACTGCCGAATGGTGAGCTCAGCAGGAGATGCCCTAAAAGCAACAGCAGAGCCCTGATCAGAACAAGCAAGAGATGTTTTATATTAATTCCCATGCTCCAGGAGGGCCATGCCACCATTCAGAGAGAAGCACTGAAAAAATGGGGTTTACCTAAGTTTGTAACAGTTGATAAATGTGTCAGAAACAGACGCAAGAGGAAAAGCGTCTGTTAATGAAAGGTCACATTACTATTGAGTCACCCTGTTATGTTCTACTGTTGCAGCAGTGTTTGCAGAGATGTCTGCAATATGTATCCTTAACCTGCTGCACTGACTGTGATAGCTGTGAATTCCCTGGTACTGCGCTTCTCTGCAGAGCTGTATCTCACAGAAAGTTCCTAGACTGTGAGTACAACAGCTCTTCTCTGCCAGCCAGCACAAAGATTGCCTTTCCTCTGTTGGGTCAGACATGTACACTCTTAAATCTGCCACCATGAATTAGACCTGACCACACTTTTCTGTGCCTGTCTGTCTGTGCCAAGAACAGTCACAGAACATGTTCATGCTATGGTGTAGCTGTCTCCTATCTGCTATGGATGCCAAGGGTCTCTGCAGGAATTAATTTCTCAGACTTACCCACCACATTTAACCGTAATGAAGGGACTATTGCTGGTGTTAACTCCTCCTCCAAGTACACTCTGCTCCTGTTTGCATGTGCCTTATGTCCTGTCTCCACATCGGGAGTGCAGGGGGGTTGTATCCAGCAGATCAGTGAAGACGTCTCCAGATCACCTAAGACCATGATGTTTCTGGGCAACTTCAGCATCCTGCCCCATGGATGAAGATGGATTTGGCAGTGGGGCACATACTCACGTACAGGATGGTGGTTTGCCCAGCCAGCAGTGGCGTAGCCATTGAGAGCTGCTGTACAAGTTGATCAGTTGATATTTCAGTGATATTTTGCATCTAGACCTCAGCCTATGCTTCAAGTGGACCAGAAGTCCCATAGCTCTGTAGAGTAGTTAACATGGCACAGAGCCAAAGCTTATTCCGCTTATTTTACATATACCCTGAAGCACATACACTCACAAATACATGTGTGAAACAATATACTCTAAAAGGCTGCACACTCCAGCATTCAACAGCTAGGAGAGATCAGAATTTGCCTGGATTTGTGCATCTTGATGAACTGCAATTGAGTTATCCATGCCCTTTTCCTACAGACATCCCCCTCACTCTGCATTGGCAATGGTTGCTGCTCCTGAGCGAGCAGCTCCCCTCATGATTTATTCTCCTCTTGTTTAATGTGCAGCGATGGGGCTTTTTATGGCCTGTTATTCAAAGTGTGCTTTGGGCACAAAATTATTCATTTCCGTATGGTTTTTCCATGGTGCTCATGACAGCAGCGTCTGAGTGTTTCACACGCAGCACTTCCTTTTCCAATAATTTTGAGAGGATGCTGACCCTATATTATCAGTGAGGAAAGAAGGCAGGCAGCGATGAAATAAAAAAAGGGTCTTCATAATTTTGGATTCCCAATGTGAGTCACCTACAGGCTGAGTACTTTAGATGACAGGCATTTGGAGCTCAGCTCCCACTGAGCTCAGCTACGGCAGTAATTGCACAACAAGCCAGATCTGAAGATCTCCCGCTAAACACCCAGATAAGGCAGAACGCGCAGCAAGCTGGGTATTGCTGCCCAGTGACTTTAATCTGGGAATTTTCTTCTTTTTCTGTACCAGATTTTGTAAACTTACTATTCCTGTAACTTTGTTTTCTGTGGGTAGTTTTCTAGGGTTTGAGTTCATTTTTCTAAGCAAACTTAAAAATCGTAAATTTCATCACTCTTGATCAAGTTCACCACAATATGGGTTAGCAGCAGGATGGATTGTTTTGAACTATGATATGATTGGCATTTTACAGGCCCCCTGGTAGCAGTAGTGGACTGTTTAATTGATACGGGCTGGCCATTTGAAGGGAGTGAGACTGTGCTTTGCCAGTGAGTTTGGTTTTGGTTTGTTTTTCCAAATATTCTCTGGCTGCAAAATCCCAAGATCCATTCCAGACCCCAGAAACAAATGGGGTCTAGTGAGCTCCCTCAACCTGGTCCCGTCTTACCAGGCTGGCTTCTTTATTCCAGATGCAAAGAATACAAAGATGGAGAAACAGTCCCTTAGATACCCTTTGGAAGAAGCTATTAGTAACAAAGGCACCTATTTGCTTATTTACTTGTCTAAACAATTACGTAGCTACCTGATGGTAATTACTGCTGCTTAAAAGTTTGGCTTTTACAGAGATTTTTGCTGAGTTCATTCAAGACAAACCTGTTAGCTGCCATATAAAACAAGTAAGAGAAATGGTGATAAGTGAACTGCTGCCTTCAGCTGTGAAGGACATTGCAAATGACACAAAATTAATTTAAAAGTCTGCCATTTTATACCAGGACAGGTTCTGCTCAGTTTATCAAAGTATTCACATGCAATTTCAAAAGGATTGGAATCCAGACAGATGCCTTTTTAAAAAAAAAAAATC